ATTTATATATATTAGGATTTCCCAGTTGTAATGAAACAAAAACTTTGCTAGCTCACAGTGAAAATTTCTAAATTTTAAAACTTTTTTCCTCAAAATCAGTTTTTTTTGTTGCTACTGCTCAAAAAACGCTTCAAAGATGTTTTTTTAGGACTATATTTCAGACAGTTCCTTCAAATGATACGTATGATAAGTATGCTAAGTATGATAAGTTAAATGATAAGTATCATATACTCATTATATTTTGACAAAATGCCATTTTTGCAAACGTTTAAATCAAAACCCTATATCTGCCCATTCCTCCTCGTTCCACTCGTTTCGATGTGATGGGTCACATTTGGCAGTTCTGTCGCAAATCTTTTGATGTAACAGTTCAGAAAACGTCAYTGAGAACAGAGAAAACTGAACGGGTGGAAAAATATGACCCAAACAGAAAATAAAGTTATCTTTGCAGCAACGGGAGAAACTGAATTTACATTTTATGCACTCCTAGAGACTCCAAGTACAGAACAAAACACATTTAACTGCTAAACAAAAAATGCAGATTTTGCACGAGATGTCCCCTTTAACAATCCTGGGCTCATTAACCCCTCCCCCCCAGAGGGATAATGTTTTTGCCAATGTTTGTGAATTTGTCTGTACTGTTAGCAAAATATCTCATGAGTCACTAAATAAATTTTAATGAAACTCTCTCACTCTAAAACTGATTAACTTTTAAAGTCAGTCCAGTTCAAGATGGCTGCCACGGCTAATCAGCCTTTAGCCTTCACAAAAATGTCTGCATCTCAGTCTATTTTACAGATAGAGAAATATGTARAAGTAYGAATTGTTGTTCAAGGAGTTAAACTTTTCTTTTTTCTTTTTTTGTAAGCTCTACATTATTTTTTGATTGAATTTATTTATTTGAGAAAAAGGGGCAGATATAATAAGATATTTTCTTCTTCTGCTACCTTTCATTTAATTTATGATTTGTTGTTTTTGTTGTTGAATTTATGTTGTTTTTAAAGAAATTAATAAACTAAAGATATTGAGCTAAAATTCGACGTGGTAGTAGCTGACAATCATTCACTCTATTCTCTAACAGATCATGCAAAACACTGCAATTACTGTTTTGCTTTTGTTTTCAATTAGTGTTTTGCAATTTCATGCAATATTGCATGAGACTGGGCATAATGTTATTTCCAAAACTGAACTAAAATACTGTAGTCCCAACTCTGTCAAGTCTCAAGATAAGATGATCTTAGTCTGAAACAGGGGCAGGTGATTCGAATAGGTAATATTTATTTTTAACARCTTTTACCTCTGGTGTTAATGCGAGTGTGGACCTTCATCTGTGGGTCGGAGGAGACCATGCAGGGCCACCAGGGGTAAGTGCCCACCTTGGACCACACCAGATCTCCGATCACAAACTCCTTACAGAAACCAGTCTCTTGGATCACAGATGGGTGATGAACTTTARGAACCTAAACAAGAACAAGAACCAGCGTTTGGTTGAAAAACCTCAAAAACGTTTCAGTGACTGTAAAGCAAAGCGTTTAAACGTTTTTTTATCTTGCCTTCGGTGTCTTTGGTTCAGTTTTGATGATGGTTGTCAGAGGCTCCTCCGTCTGAACCGGCGGCGTTTCACTCGGTTGCGGCTGGACGTGGGTGTCCTCCGTCTGACCCGCTGTACCTGCTTGCACTTGGCTCTGGTCCAGATTCTTCTCCTCAACCTGCAGCTGCAACCTTGCGCTCTTTTTCCTTTTCTCCTTCTTCCTCTCATGTCTGCGCTGCATCTGAGTGGCCTCGTTCTTCTGAGACTCCTTCAGAAAATAAATAAATAAAAGAGCAGCAGTGGAGTTGATGACACATTGTGGTGTTTGTTTTTTCCTTCTGTTTTTATTTTTAAAGCAAACTGAAAGAAAATCTGTTCGCTTCCTCAGATACTTATGAAGTTCTGTTGAAAAAGAAGAGGAAAGTAATCGTTTCATCTGGATTTAAATGCGACTTTTAAAAATATGCTGTGTTATTTTAATTTATCACAGTTTAAACATGATGTAGATCACAAAAAAACTGCAACTGGTAACCAACAATTTATAATAAATCAAAAACACTTAATTCTCTCCTTTAAGAGCAAACTGAACAGCGTTCGTAGGACCTGCCCTCCTTACCTGCAGCTCCTGCAGCAGATCTCCACACAGCGCAGATTCAAACAGCTCTTTTCCGTTCTGATACGTCTTTATGATCTTCAGCTTGATCTCCGGAGAGCTGGTTTTCTTCAGCACCCCACCGGTGGCGCTGGCCGGAGGGTGGACGGGTTGAGACGAGGGGGTGCTGTCCACCAGGGAGGGAGGAGGGCTCGAGGATGGGAGGGGTAACAGAGGCGGGGGCGGGAGGTTGTGGGTGATGATGTGAGGTGTCTGGGACAGGTGGTGCTGTGGGGGCAGAGGGGGCGGGGGAGGACTCTGTGGGTGCGAATGGGTCTGTATATGAGGCGGATTTGAGTGGAAGGGGTGCATGTGGTGGTGGTGGTGGTGGTGATGGGGGTGGTGATGGAGGTGGGGGTGATGTGTCGGCAGCGGGGGCGACACAGGAGACAGAGGTCTCTCCTGTAGACCAGGACCTCTCAAGACAGTTCCCTCCACTGGCAGGAGGCCGTGCTCGCCGTAGCTTCGTAACGCCCCGTAGCCGTTAGCCGAGCCGTTGGGGAACTGCGAGTAGATGGAAAACTTGGTCTGGGGCTCGTACATGGCCAGACCAGGGGGGTAGCCATTGGGGACCTGCGGCATGTCCTCCGAGGCTGATGGCGGGTAAGAAAAGTCTGCATCCAGAGCAGCATCGTAGGACGGACCACTATCCTCACCCGGGTCACTGCMGGTGTCACAGGTGCCTTCCTGTCTGATGTTGGCTGAGTCAATGAGCTGAGGGGGTTGCTGAATTGTATTTCCCATGATCCCTTGCATGAAAGAGAGGGAGAAATCCATTGTTGGGCTCCTGCATCCTTAACTGTCTTTTTCCTTGACTGGACCTGTTGACAGAGACRCACGGTAAGGCTACAATCACAACATCATGCTCTTCACCCCGTTACAACCGGGGTTCCCAAGGACCAGCACCGGTACATGAATCATTTGATATTAGGCCACAGAGAAATATTAAAAACTATCTTTGAATAAAGTCTATACATATAATGGCCACTGACGTTTGAGACTCATGCTTGCATTTGAATCAGTCTATTTTTCCTTAAACTAGCAAATCAAAACATTTCAGATTATGACCCAGAGAACAACAGCAACAGAAACCTGTGACCACAAATATTAGACTGTAAACATTACAATAAGGCCAAATAAGCAAGTGTAATAATGACAAAAACCAACGTTGTCCTTTTTTTACAGACTTATAACACCCTGTATTACTGTATTTCTCATAACAAATATGAACAAAAAATTTAATTATTCAGTATTTTTATATCAAATTCAATTCTTTTTAAAAATTTAAAAACACAAAATCGAATTATTAGTTTTTTTTCAAACTTTACTCCTTTCTTAAAAAAAGAAAAACAAAAGTAATTCTATGTACAATAAAAAAGAAAGTACAAATAAAATGCAATGAAAGGCGGCAGAGAGAAGAAGAAATCTTATAACATCTGCCCCTTTTTCCTCAAGTTTAAATTCAAACAATAAAAACCTTCAGTTAACAAAACAAAAACAGTTTTGTGGCCTATTTTAAAAAGGTTCATATAGTTCTACAGAATATTTATTTATGAGTTTAATTGTCCTTCTGACAATGCATTTACAGCAGACCACACAACAGTTTCACAATGTTTCACCAAGAAGTTCAGAAACCAGAAAACCATTAGTACCAACGCTCTGTGTGTTTCAGCTGATTGGAGTTAATATTGTCAAAATATTAAGAGGTTTGCACCACAACATAATGTGAAATGTCTTATTTACACATAAATAGACGTTATTTAGATTAATCTAAAACAGCGTGAGAAAAAAAATAAAATATGTTCAACCTAAACCTTATGTTTGAGTATTTACTCAAGATTTTCTTYTTAAAATGGTAACCAAATATATTCAATTTATTCACTGCTCATCAGATAGCAATAAACAACATATAGCATCTGGTCAGAATAATTTTGGTAAAATATTTAGTGGGTTTATAAGATTATTAGCAGATATATTAACTAAATGTGCCAACATGGTGTGTGAAAATACAGTGTACCCCAATTAAGTTACAATTAATGTTTTAATCAAACACTATTTCGGTTTCTAACATCAAGAAAGCTTTAAGAAGTTTTATTTAATCTCAGGTTTTTGTAAATTGTAAATACAAAAAGCAAGAAGATTAAATGCATAATGGAAAAGGTGCATGCTCGAAGTCATGTGTATACACCTGTTTTATGTAAAAACAACAGAAAAATTAGGAACACATTGGAATGCAAACAGGGCAGCTTGTGGATTTGTCTTTAAAAAAAATCCTCTCTTAGTCTAAACTTAAATTCCAGGTTTAAGGTTTTGCTRAAGTGCAGCTCCTTTTTGTGGTGCGTTTTTTATTACATCAACACAAACACATGGTGGCTTTCAAAAACAAAACAAAGAGCTGCTCCCCGTGGCTACTTTAGGTTTTTATTTTAAACACATATAACATCTATAATGGGGAGTTATTTAAGTTAAAAGTGAACTGAACTAATCTCGTTGTGATTTCAGGAGTAAGAATAATCAGGCTGCTCGGTATCAGAAAGGTAAATAATGTAAACATCCATACGATGTCAATTATCGACCAAAAACCACAATCATCGACTCAGAATACTGTTTTTTTTCCTTCGTTTGTTTGTGTTTTGTGGTAAACAGCAAAATCCGGCTACATCTGTGTGGCTTTCCTCTTTTCAGCGCAGACAGAAATATTTCACTGAATGATGTTTTAGCTTCCTGCGGTGATAGCATCATGCTAACTGGCATCAAAGGGGCCATAAYGGGAAGCAGTTCGAAATAATAAAAAAGGGGGGCACAAAATAAGTTTAATGCCATTTAATTTTTYAGGGGTAGGCTTTAAAACGTTTCCAGATATTCAAATAACTGCGCAGCACACATGGTTAAGATGAAAGGGGAAGCTAAATGTTAGCTAGGCTAACGCTGCAATATGGCTGCCTGTGCCCCTTTAAATCAAATTGTCTGCCGTGATTATACCTCCATCACTGAGGAAAATGTGCCCAAAAACAAGCGAGATGCCAGAAAAGAAAAGATAAATAAAAAATAAAGACATCGGTGCCGAGATAAGAACACGCCGATATGTTTCGTCGTTCCAAAGAAGCGAGGAAGCAACACATATTTTTGAATCCGAGTCGAAAGCTGCAGTAAAAATAATAAAATATATATAAAAGAGATGTCAATACCTTCAGCGTGTCCCATTCTAAACACATACACCAGCCAGCAATGGTTCCTCGTTTAATCTACAGGTAGGGGGGAGAATAAAAAATAAAAAAATAACACAGTGATATTGACAAAAGCTCAGGCCTTTCCTTTTCCTTTTAACGCAATTCTCAACAGAGAAGATGAGGATGAGGTTGAGGAGGAGGGGTGGTGTTACGCTAGCTGGTCGCTACCCAATCCCGACGCCTGGCTCTTCGTCAATATGAAGACCCCAGCATTTAGACGGAACCCTCGTCRGAGACTAACAACCTTGATAAACCTAATCTTTAGCTCCCTCTTTCCTCGGTTTCGCAAAAGCGCTTTTCTTGCGTTTGCTGTTTTTTTTTTTATATTTGTATTTTTCCTCAAGCCTTGCTGCTCCTCGGTTCTCTGCTCAGCGCCAAATCATCACCCAGATGCGGGCTGCAGGGGTCAACAGAGGCACTCCGGGATGTGTAGTTTCCTTCAGCAGAGGGCGGAGCTATCAAAAATGTCGATCGTATCGATACCAACTTCGCTATTAATCGATACCAGTGTAATGAGATCGATATTTGAGTTATTATTTTTACAATGGGAAAATTAATAATTTTAATTAAAATTATTAATTAAAATTAAAAATTTTAATTAAAATTTTGCATTGTAGTTCAAAATAATTTGTTTAGATTTGTTATCCAGTGATAATTTTGTGCACTTGTTTATTTAGAAAACATCCAAACACGGACCCCCCACCAGATTTTGTCCTTAGATTTAACWAATTTTCCAAAGAATGAAAATTAGGTTACACAATTTAGAATAAGCAATTTTATTATCATCCTCTGAAGCATTTAAAGRCATATTTAAAGATTATTATTGGCAAAGTTGGCCCTGACATGAGTTACTTGGTATTTGATCTTTTTTTTTTTCAGTATTTCCCACCTCTTTGCTTAAACAGGAAAAACACAACTTTAAATGCTGCAGTTAATTAAACGAAATCACACTTGTACTTAAAGAATAATATTACATGCTATGTAATTGTAATGAATTAAAGGGAGATAAATGGTTAAAATGTTTAATAGAAGAATAGAAAAAGAGAAATAGCCTTAAAAGTCCACGCAGAGGGGGAATTCAGGTGTCACTGCAGCATCCGTACAGATGTTTATAAGATATCAATAATTATTTTCTTAACATTGTATTCTCTCTAGAAAAAAGGGGAAAAAACCTTCATTAATTTTGTACCTCTGTCGCAGATTGGCCGTTCACCGCCTTACGATAAAGGAGGACACAATTAGAAAGACCTTTCACTCTGCATATAGATATACAGGTTGTAGTTCAGACTCCGGCCCAGTGTGAAAACTAGTATKTTCCTTTTTCCATATCTTGATTAATCATGGAAAGTAGAAATTAAGGATGCGGCAATTTCGCCTACATATTTAAWTTATGTCAAGATCCAAAACTGAGACTGTTTTGACTTTTAATTTCCTTCAAAAAATAATAAGTCTTCTTTATTAAATAGACGATCTTTCTTGGCTTTTCGCCGYAAACAACGTTTCACGCATGCCCACTGTGACCTTTGAGTAGAGCTGCCTGGAAGGCTGCTCGYACGGTCACAGACTGAGACACGACGCGCACAGAGACGGTTTTAAAGCATAAACCCACCGTAAATGGGTTTATCACCACATCAGACGATCTTTTATTCGATTCCGTTCATCTCTACAGTTTGTTTTGGATGGATTATCTTGTTTACGTCTCACCGAAAAGCCTTGCAACGCCCTGTCTGCTCGGTCATTGACGTTGGAGGTTAGTGGGCTCCATTTTCAGCTTTTGGATAGCTTTAGCATCTGGCGGCTAATGCTAAGTAGCTAACTGGTGTTGTGCCGAAAAAAGTATCCCCTCCCGTGGAASGCACCGGCTAATGGCTTCTTGTGTTCCACACGTTCGCCATTAAGTATYGTTTTTTCTTACAGTTCTTGCTTTTGCCAACGAGTTTTAATGATTTTAGATTCTAAAGCTTTCAAAACTGTTTTGGATGTCAGCTGTGCGCCTAATGTCTATTTTAACACAAAACTTCACGGGATATTTTCTGTTTTAAACTGTATTTTTAACACGGTGAAAATACGTAATATAGCATATGATCTGTAGCTAAAAGCTAATGTACAGCTATTCTGTTACATAACCCTGTTAACATGATCATTCAGTTACTTGTGTCACCCGTTTGAACGTAATCAGATGTGTAAACTGTAACCTGACCTCTWCATGTTTTCCATTTCCATGTAAACATTGGACAGAACGCCTTCATCTGCCTATGCAATGGCAACCTTTAGTCACCAGGTGCTCCTCGCAGTCACAAGATCAAGGTAAGCAGGTTGTTGCACTTGACTGTAGATGCTAAACGGCATGACATGTCTATTACTGTTGAAAGTAGGCTCAGTTTAGGTGTGCAGATACTAAGATATGGTAGATAATCCCCRCTTTCACTTGTATCAGGTTATCTTCACGTTAGGGGTTGAGTTGAAGTGTGWGGTCTAGGGCAGTAAAATTGCACTAATGTTTACACAGTGTCAAACAGCAGAATCTACTACAGGGTCATAGACCCACATATGACCGTACATCACAGAACACTTTGAAAGCTAGAGTGTTAATTTTTTGCTAGATGTGCGGCTTTAGAAAAATCCAGGTGAAATCTAACAGTTTATTCATTTCCAGGCAGCTGAGTGTTAAACTGTTTTAAACATCTCTCAATGCTGGTATATAAGAAATATATATTTTAGGAGCATTTATAGTTAACTTACTTTGAAAGAAATTAAGGAAAGAACGAGGTCCCGGATACAAGCGGCCGAAATGGGTTTCCTCCACAGGGTGGCTGGGCTCTCCCTTAGAG